AGGTCATTTACTTAAACCTCTACTAAAATCAAATTTGAGTCTGTATGGTCATACGGTATCCAAATTTGGGGCCCATCAAAACCCGCAAACATTCGACCTATTCAAGCCTTCCAGTCAATTAGCCTAAGACTTATCACTGGTGGTCCATGGTACAAACAAATGCAGCCCTCTATAATGACTTAAAAATACAATCAGTAAATGAGCTTGCAAAAAAAAGCCACTACAAAAGTTACCATTTAAAATTAACAAACCACATAAATCTCTTCATTCAAAATATATCCTGTCTTACATTACCAAAAATTTACTGYTGATTAAAAAGAGAAACTGGTCTAGAGATCTCTTAAAATAGGAGGGAAACATTTTTTTCCTGAGGTTCAGTTAATGAACGGTCTCCTCTTCATGTTATTCGTGTTATTATATTTTCTATGTTATCCTTATAACTTATTGTTTTTAATTGTAAACAGATTGAATATATTAAAATTAAAATAAAATTTAACATTTTCAAAATATATTGACTCATTTTGAACCATTTTAAAAATTTTAAATTTTCATTTAGTTTTTAGTTTTACTTCWATAAATGTTGATTTGCTAGGTCAGAATGCTTGAAAATGCTAGCAATTCAAAAAAATTAAAGWTACATTTATTTTATAAGCATTTTAAGTTCAAATTGTAATAAAATCTGATAGTTAAACAAAGAATAAAAATTTTAGTTATTTTGTTGTAATTACCTACTTTAAAAATATTATTCGTGAGTATACAAACCTTCTTCAAATTTGTAAATTATATTATTATCATATTTGATACATACAAGTATAACAYCACAAAATATACTTTGTAATATAGGCTGACTAGTGGTTTTTTACCATTGAATTCAAATTAAACACACTTATTACAATAACCCACTCAAAAATAATAATTTTACAAATTATTATGGGTTATTATTTGCAAAATAATTTTCAAACTTTGATAATATCCATTAATTTGGTTATTTGCGTGAAGTTGGCACATCAATTCWGTCATCCAAACTAGTACCATCTTTTTGAAAATTAATCACAACAATTTGCAACACGTTAGAAATATAAACAAAACTGTAGAAACTGTTTGAGCATTTTCTTTCAAATAATACGTTAAGTTAAAATTTTCATAATGATGTAAACATACTTTTTTATTTAAACAAAACCTAACCATATTAAATCCCTGATTTTTTTAATTCAAAATTTGTTAGTCTATAACTTTTTCTTGTTATTTAAAATGCGTACTACAAAAAGTTAATARCTAACATATAGAAATAGTAAGTTCATCTAGTTAAAATAAAAATCTATGTCCAATTTCAAGAATAAATAAAATATTTAATACTAGCAAAATTAGTTTTTTTTACTTGGAAGAATATAATACGTAATGTTAAGTATACTCTGATATA